AACCCAGGATGCACACATGCACACACACACACACACCAACCCAGGATGCACACATACACGCACACGCATAAACACCAACCCAGGATGCACACATGCATGCACACATACATGCACACACATACACAACCCAGGATGCACACATGCATGCACACATACACACCAACCCAGGATGCACACATGCATGCACACATACACGCACACGCATACACACCAACCCAGGATGCACACATGCATGCACACACACATACACACCAACCCAGGATGCACACATGCATGCACACACACACACCAACCCAGGATGCACACATGCATGCACACACACATATACACACCAACCCAGGATGCACACATACACACACATGTATACACAAACTAGGATGCACACATGCATACACACATACACACACATACACACCAACCCAGGATGCACACACGCATGCACACACACACACACACACACACATACAGCAACCCAGGATGTCTTTTCTCTAATCCCTAGACTCTATTAGTTTGTTACATTATAAGGCAAAGAGCAGAGGGTGAAGTTGCAGATGGAACTGGGGCTGCTAATTGAACAGTCTTTGGTTTGCTGAGGATTGAACCCAGGGTCTTGGACACGCGTGTCAAGTCTCTCCCACTCTCCCCTGGCCCTTGTGTTTTGTTTTGGTTTGGTTTTGTCTTGAAACAGGGTCTCCTCCTGTAGTACAGGCTGCTCTTAAACCTACAATCTTCCTGCCCCTACCTTCTGTACACTGGGATTACAAAACTGTGCTTGTCTTGATGGTCTTAAAATGGGAAATTATTTTAGATTCTTTTGTGGGCCTGATGAAATTACGAGGCTTTTTTTTTCCCCCTAAGACAGGGTTTCTCTGTAGAGCCTTGACTGTCCTGGAGCTCACTCTGTAGACCAGGCTAGTCTCAGACTCACAGAGGCCAACCTGCCTCTGCTTCCCGAATGCTGGGATTAAAGGTGTGCACCACTACTGCCTGCCCAGGTAGAATTTTTTTTTTTTAATAGAAGGACTCAGGGGGCTAGAGAGATGGCTCAGAAGTTAAGAGCACTGTTTTCTCTTTCAGAGGTCCTGAGTTCAATTCCCAGCACCCACACGGTGGCTCACAACCGGCTGTAATGAGATCTGGTGCCCTTTTCTGGCATGCAGGCATAATACTATACACATAATAAATAAATCCTTTAAAAAAAAAAAGGACTCAAAAGGGAGAACCAGAAAGACTATAGTGTAAGAAGGACCCTGTCCACCGTTGCTGGCTTGGAGCAGAGGTCACAAATCAAGGAACACAGGGTTCTTTAGAAGCTGGCAAAGGCCTTAGGGGAACAGTTTGCTGGGATCTCCAACAGAAACACAGGCCTAGCCATGCCTTGATATTATTGGTTCATTGGGACACATCTCAAACTTCTAGCTGCTAGAAGTGTAAGATAATGCATTTGTATTAGCGGAGTCACTAATTGTATCTGAGTTGTTATAGCAGCCACAGGAAATGGATACAGTGGCCAAGGTCAGCTTTCAAGGGCTAAGTGAGACAATAGGCAAGGCCTCCCCTGACTTGTCTGGGAGACTCCTTGCACCTCGAGCAAGCAGCCCAGCCAAACTCCCACTGTAGTGTTCGAAATACTCACTAACAAGGGCAGCAAGGGGGTCTTGTCCATACTCACATGGTCATCTGTCTGCATTAACAAGGCCATAGCATCTCAGAAGAGGCAGAAACGTGGACACTCAGGGAACAATCAGCTGCGGCAAAGGTTTAGAGAGAAGAAGCAAGATTTCAAGCCACCTAGAAGAGGTCTCCTGTCTTAGTGGCCCTCACGAATCCAGAGATCACACTTTGGTTCCTGTCTAGTGGTCCCCACGAATCCAGAGGTCACACCCTGACTTCTGTCTAGTGGTCCCCACGAATCCAGAGGTCACACCCTGACTTCTGTCTAGTGGCCCCCACAAATCCAGAGATCACACCTGGCTCCTGTCTAGTAGTCCCCACAAATCCAGAGATCACACCTTGGCTCCTGTCTAGTGGTCCCCACAAATCCAGAGGTCACACCTTGGTTTTGTCTTAGTGGCCCCCACGAATCCAGAGATCACACCTGGGCTCCTGTCTTAGTGACCCCCACGAATCCAGAGATCAAATCTTGGCTTAAAGCAAAAATGATATCGCCAGCATGCCAGTCCAATGTATCTATCCCATCTTTGAGCAAGACAAGATAGTCCAGAAGCTCTCAAGAGCTTCCTGTTCCATCTCTTTGTCCAGAACTTGGTCGTGCAGTCTCTTGAAAATGCAAAGGATTCTGGGAAAGGGGTTCAGTTAACAAAAAAAAAAATCAAAATGAGCTAGGAGTCTGTGAGTAAACAGCATGAAGATGAAGAAGGATTTCACGATTTTCCGTAGTTCCCCACGTCCTGGGCCAGGCGACGAAAGAAAGGCTCATATTGTCGACCACCTACTAAAGAGAAGTCTAGAAAACATCACACACCTCGGCCCATTGCTCTTTCCACAGGGGACGCTGAACAAGATGAGTTGGGAAGTAATTAATTTGCCTAAGGACACGTGCTCAGCAGGAGTGGCTCTCAGGGCTGCTCTGCAGTCTCCTCCAGTGCTGGGGGAAATGACACGTCAAGGCAGCCAGGAAGGGGACCGGGAGGACTGAGAGGAAGCGAACCCTCACCTCCCCAGCGAACCCCCACCTCCCCAGGTCCCCAGGTCCCCAGGACCAGGCTTAGGAAGACACGGCTCACGTGATTTTATGCACAGAACCTGAAAGCCTTGAAAGAGGGCTGGCAAAATGACTCAGCCAATGGGTGCAGTACCCCAGAACCTGCTTGGTGGAATCAGAAAACAAGGCTGTCCTCGGACCAGCACACACCCACACACGTACATATACACATATGTACGTGTGTGTGTGTGTGTGTGTTCGGGGATACACATACATGCATACACACACATATATATAAACAAAGCTGTCCATTGACCAGCATACACCCATGCACGTACATAGACATATATGTGCATGTGTGTGTACACGTGTGTGTGTTCAGGGATACACATACGTACATATGTGTGTACACCTACGTGTGTGTGTTTGGGGATACACATACATGCATACACACACACACACATATAAACAAGCTGTCCATTGACCAGCACACACCCACACACACATACATATACACATATGTATGTACATGTGTGTGTTCAGGGATACATACATACACACACACACACACACATGTTTCCTGAGGCAGGAAGATCCCAACCTCAAAGCCTGCCTGGGCAACTTAACCTAATCCCAAGACAAAAAGGGGGAAATAGGGTGAAGCTGGGGATGTTGGTTAGTAGTGGAGCGCTTGCCTAGGTACCGTGTGGGAGGCACTAGGTTCAGTCTACAGTTTGGGCCGTGGGCTGCCCTAAAAGACAGAAAGTGCGTTCATCTCGTCAATGCACTTATATAACTTAGGTGACTGAGAAGTGGTGGAGAAGAGAGTACAACTGTGTGTTCACTTAGTTACCAATTTCCAAAGAATGTCTTTCTGCGGACCTGTAAAATCAAACTCTAAATATCATGAACTTCCCACGCCTCACACGCTGCCAGCTCCACTTTTGGAGACTCGGAAAGGCTTGAAGACTTGCCGTGGTTGTAAGTCCCGAGGCAGCATGAGCCGTGGATGCTGACACCCTGACCATAATTCCAGGCGCAGACCGGCCCAGGATTTCTCTTAAGCTCCCGTCCAATTCTGCAGGGCATTCTGGACCCGCTTCTCTGTGTCTCCTGTGTTCGTTATTCAGGCTCAGCGTGTCTGTAAGACTGGAGTGAAAGATTTCTCAGAGGTACAAAGGGCCTCGCTGCCTGTGGAACTTAGGAGACACGGAGCCTCTGATTTCACCAGGCCCATTACTCTCCAGACTTTGGTCCTTTTGATACGTGAGCTAACATACTTTCTTTCTCGTTGTGTTGACCGTTGAGTCGGGTTTCACTGAATCCTAACAAGCTTGAGCATGCCGGACTCTAGTGTGAGCTCTGACTCTCTAGGACATCCGATGGAGCGCCTGCTTCAAACCATCTTTTGTTCTTCTCTTATGGGGATGCTACCTGGAGCTGAGTCCTGGTGCATCGGTGAGATTAAACGTCCTTGGGGAACAGGAGGTTTTGTGCTGATGAGAAATTTAAAGCTCTGAGTTCTGTCTGACTCCACAGGCGCCTGGTTGAGCCTTCCGCGCTCTGTTGTGGTTTAAATATAACCAAAGTTTCCATGTGAGGAATTTATAAACTCTGTGAGGCCCAGCCTGGAAGGCGCTCTGTAGACCAGGCTGGCCTTGAACTCCCGAGTGCTGGGATTAAAGGCGTGTGTCACCACCACCCGGCTATTCACGGGCTCCCACAAATCATCCTCAGCTTTTCCACATCACTAGAACTCGTGCTCCTTACAGGATTACCGTGCGCTAAAAGCTTCCCATACAATAGAAATCCCTCATCAAGTATTAGATGTCTCTGTTCCCCCTGTGCCTTGCTTGCACAGAGGGACTGAATTTGGGAGGGGAAATCCCAGAAAACTCTCCCTGGCTGAAACGAAACTCAACACGGTCAAATATTTTCAAAATGTCAGGCTCCCTGTGAACCCGGACAGACACTGAGGGCAGGGGTCGCGGTGCACTCTTTCCCACTGCCTCGGGCCATTTTGAAAAGACCGACAAGATTTCCACTGCCGAAGGAATTCTCCCAAGGCTTTATTCTTTCCTAATGCTCTCTACCAAGATGGGGTCTGGCATTTGTCATTTCTCCTTCCTCTCTGAGTGTGTGTCTTCAGGAGCCTTTCAGGGCTTTGCTCTCTGGGCTCTTGGATTGTGTTTATTAGGCAAGGCATCTGTTACTGGTGCCTTCTGACCCCTCCTGGGAGTCTCTGGATTGCTGGTGAGGATTGGGCTAACCGTCTTGCATCCTAGGAGACTTGGGGCTCAGCCACTGTGCCATTTCCTGATTGGTGTCCCCACAGAGGGAGCAGGACAGAGCCTGGCAACCTTACCTCTACTTCCGAAGCAAGCCAGAGAGCCAGACTCTACGGCAGATCCAGCCTGGGTATTCGGCCAAGAGATATCTCCGGGGCCTTTTGCGGACATGGCCCCCAGATACCATGTACAGACTTCAGTGCGCAGGTCAGTGGGGAAATGGGGGGGGGATGAACTCCAGTCTCCCCCACTTCTCAGTCTGATGTGAAGGTGTATTTCCCACTGATGCCAGAAACACCAGGATTTCAGGTCCAATTCTGAGCTAAGGCGAAGTCCCCAAGCTTTGTAGTCTGCAAGCCTCTATCCCAGCTACTGCCTTTTATCTTTTTTTTTTAAATTTTTACTTATGATTTTATTTTTTAATTTATTTATTTATTATGTATACAGTGTTTTGTCTGTTTGTATGCCTGCTGGACATGAAGAGGGCACCAGACCTCATTACAGATGGTTGTGAGCCACCATGTGGTTGCTGGGAATTGAACTCAGGACCTCTGGAAGAGCAGGCAATGCTCTTAACCTCTGAGCCATCTCTCCAGCCCCTGCCTTTTATCTTTGCTGACATTTTCAGAAGGAAGGGCCGGCACCTGAGCACTTGGCCCCGCTCTCACTGTTCAACCTCAGCTCCTCACGTCCCGCAGTCCAGTCCAGAACTTGCTTCCCAACCTACTCCACACCGAGGCCTCAGAGACCTTCCCACTTAAACCCCAAGGTTCACAAGACAAGACAAAAAGGAGGTCTAAAGACGCAAAGGTCAGTCACAGCCAGAAGCAGAGCTGGACCCAGAAGGCAGGTCCTTCCTGCACCCAAGGCTCCACATTCTTCCCAGAATTCCCAAGTTCCCTGTCTGAGGTCATCTCAGGTCCTCTTAAAGAAGGCAACTCTGGGGCACAATCGCCTCGGGAGAGAGAACGCCCCTCCTCCTGACAGAAACCCCAAATGCACTCTGTAGACTTAGGAAAACCTGAAGTGGGAATTTGAGTTGCCAGATCTGACACACTGCGCCCACACAAACAGTGAAACTCACAATATTTGGGACATATTTCCACTCAAAAGTGTTCATTGTTTATCTGAAACTTAAACTTAATTGGACATCCTGTATTTTATTTGGCAAACTGCTGGAGATGAGAGATGAGTGTTAAAACATGCCAGACCTCACTCAGCTGCTCGCGGTTCCTTCAGCACCAACACGCAAGACCAGAAAATTCTGGCTTGCTTCTTGTTTTACAGGTTTACCTGGGGAAGGAGCGAAAACCATTCGCTGCCCCAGTAAGTGGGGGCTTGAAACGAAATAAGAGACGTGAGCTTGTCTGGCGACTGATTTTACTTTCAAGGCAGTCCCATGGTTCCAGGCTGTCCTGTTTGCTTACCACTTGTGAGAAAGCTTTCTCAACCAAAAAGGGCTGTCACTGGAAGGGGCCGCGGCAAGGCAGGCTACCATCCCACAGCCTGGGCCCGGTATCCTCAAGAAGGTAGCAGCTTTCAAAAAAACAAAAAGATCTCACTTCCGTGATGTCATCTAGCATGTGTGGACTAAGAAAAGGCGCAGGGACCTTGCATTCGTGAGCCCCTTGCTATACATACCTCCTTGTTAAAGTCTCTCTCTAAAGTAGTTGGCAAACCAGCTGGTGGTGGTGGTGGTGGTGGTGGTGCACATCTTTAGTCCCAGCTCTCAGGAGGCAGAGGCATGCAGATCTCAGAGAGTTCGAGGCCAGCCTGGTCTACAAGAGCGAGTTCTAGCTTCAAAGCTACAGAGAAACCCTGTCTCAAAAATTAATTAATTAATTAAAATAAATAAATAAAGTAAGTAAGCCCTCAAGCGGGAGGAGCAACAGTGAGACTCCAGGGAGAGGCCGGAGTCCCAACAGCTCCGACATTCTCGTCCCTCACCTCATAACGTTAGCGAGTTCTCTAGCCGCTTCAGGCCTCCCCTATGATGAATCGACCCCACCCTTCAAGCCTGTTTCTTCTCTTTTTCGTCCTTTCTAAAACCTTTCTGCTTGTATGTTTGTTTATTTTGTTGTGTGTTGGTCCTTGAGACAAGATCTTTCCATAGATCCCTGGCTGGCCTGGAATTTGATGTCTAGATGTCTGGCTTCAAATTCATAGACGTCCCCTTGCTTCAGTCTGAGGGCTGGGATTAAAGGCATGAAGCCACCATGCCCAGCTTTAAAAGTTGTTTAAATGAACGTTCATGTCAGCGTACAGAGTAATGGGGTTCATGGGGTACCTTCACACACGTCATTAGTGTAGGCTCTCATTCCTTCTCCTTCCGACTGCCCCTCATCCCTCGTTCTGCACAGTTGGTCCCTCTTCTGCCTTATGACATCATTGCCCTCTCTACCTTCCACCTCCCTCAAGACTTTTTCCTGCCCTCTCGTGATGCCCCTTTTAGCTTCCTCACCTACATGCACGTGTGTGCGCACACATTTATGTAAACAAACACATGCAAAGATTTTAATCTAGACTTCCCATCTAAGCCTGACTCTTCTACAAAGGCTTTCCTGACAGTTCTAGTCAATTCTGAGCTTCTGGGCCTCTGATACTCAGAGCTGGAGTGGAGTCCCGAGAGATCCATCTCTCCAACCGGCTGTGAGAAACCCATGACTAGTTCCTCCGTGTCTAGCCTAGCAGATGGTGGGCGCTTGGTCAAACTTCAAGAAGGACTGCAGGATGAGTAGATTAGGTCTGGAGGGATGATGACCAAGGGGCAGACAGAAGAAAAAGCACCACGATTAGACCTCTCTTTCTGAACAATCCTCCAAGCCAACACCAAGGAAGCAGTCATGGTTTTGTGTTTGTTTCCCAACAAGGACCTCATTCTTGGGAAGTGCTCACACTGCCTGAGTTTTCCAATCCTGCTCATCTCCTGATTGTCCTCTTTAAAGTCTGTTCAAAGCCAAGACTACTCCCAGTGGGGAACATCTAGTTTTCTCCTGCCCTCTAGACTGGTCCTTATCTTTCACATCAGTAATTCCTGCCCTGCCCCTCAGGACACATCAAGGATTCCGTGCTGCTCCAGGACAGTCAGCTTGGGATACCCAAGAATCTCAGGCCGCAGCAGGATCTCTCGGGTGCTCCCCGAAAATACCATCTCCTGCCTGTCTACCCTCCGTTTTGGATTCAACAGAGACCGTCTTACGAACGAGGTGCCTGCTCATTGCTGTGTTTTCATCCTTCATGTGTGTGCACGGCGGGGGTGTACATGGGTATGTGCACGTCTGATTGCGTGTGGGCACACGCGTGTAGGTGGGTGTGCCTGTCCACACTAGTGTGGCTGCTTGCTAAAGATTGAGGGCTAGAATCACTCTGTATTGCTCTTCCATCTTACCCACTGAAGCAGGTCTCTCAATCAAACCCAAAGCTCATTGCTAACCAGCTTGCCTTGAGGACCCCTTGTCTTGATGAAGGAAGGTTAAGTAATAAAGAAACTGCTTGGCCTCAGAGATTAAAACATAGGTGGGAGGAGTAAACAGAACAGAATGCTGGGAGGAAGAGGAAGTGAGGTAAGATGCCTCAGACAGATGCCATAGCTCAGCTCTCGGAGTCAGATGCGATTCAGCTCCGACCCATGATGGACATAGGCTAGAATCTTCCCGGTAAGCGCACCATAGGGTGCTACATACATTATTAGAAATGGGCTAGTCCAGGTGTGAGAGTTAGCCGAGAAGAGGCTAGATACAATGGGCCAAGCAGTGTTTAAAAGAATACAGTGTCTGTGTAATTATTTCGGGGCATAAGCTAGCAGGCAGCCGGGGTGCTGGGGATGCAGCCCTGCCTCTCCTATTACTACATTGTCTCTAACCTCTGAGGCTGAAATTCTGCACAGGCCGCCTTACCCACACAGCGTTTAAGTGCGTTCTGAGAATCTGAACTCGGATCCCAAGGCAAGCATGGTCAGCACTTTAACCACTGAGATGTCTCCCCAACCTGTACCTGTTAATGGCATGACCAGTTTACAGATGCTTGGATTTTCTTTTTTAACGGCTTAAAATAAAGTTTTACAGAATAAGATCTGGGGGTTCTGTTTTCATCGTCTTCATCTGGAAGATGCAGGGGTCAGTCTGGAAAGTGTGACTCGCGTGCTATCCAGGAGGGTGTCAGTTAATCACATATGTCTCGCGGGCATTGGAACGTAGCTACTGCAACTGCGAAACTGAGTTTTTAATTTAATTCTGATTCATTTGCATACAGATAGCCATATGTGGCTTGCAGCTCCTGTGCTGGACAACACAGGTCTAGGCTTTACTGTTCAGATTTCTGAAGTATCTTCTCTAATATTATTTTGTGTTTGTTAGTGAGTTGGCTTTATTTTTTAATAAATATTTTAATAAATATTTTGAGACAGAGTCTCACTATGTAGCCCAGACTAACCTAAAACTCACAGTCCCCCTGCCTCAGCTTTCTAAATGCTGGGATTGCAGACATGTGTCACCACCTAAATGTTTTTTAATCCTGTGATTTTTGTGACAATGCTTTAAAAATATATAAACTTTGGGGCCATGAATCCATTTTCTTCCCCAAGAAAACCACCAGGAGACACCCAGGAACCCCAAGGTCAGGTTTGCAATTCAGCATCCCAGCAGTTACAGGTCACGACACACAGTCATGCATCCCAGCGGTTGCAGGTCACGACACACAGCCACGCATCCCAGCGGTTGCAGGTCATGACACACAGTCACGCATCCCAGCGGTTGCAGGTCACGACACACAGTCACGCATCCCAGCGGTTGCAGGTCACGACACACAGTCATGCATCCCAGCGGTTGCAGGTCACGACACACAGTCACGCATCCCAGCGGTTGCAGGTCACGACACACAGCCACGCATCCCAGCGGGTACAGTTCACAACACACAGTCACGCATCCCAGCGGTTGCAGGTCACAACACACAGTCACGTATCCCAGCGGTTGCAGGTCACGACACACAGTCACGCATCCCAGCGGTTGTAGGTCACAACACACAGCCACGCATCCCAGCGGGTACAGTTCACAACACACAGTCACGCATCCCAGCGGTTGCAGGTCACAACACACAGTCACGCATCCCAGCGGGTACAGGTCGAGAGACACAGTCACGCATCTCAGTGGGTACAGGTCACGACACACAGTCATGCATCTCAGTGGTTGCAGGTCACAACACACAATCACACCGCCGCCCAGGATCCCTTGCCCTTCATACAGAAATGGTCACTATTATTATCTGATTTGAGGCCCAGGCACCTCTATAAGGAAACGAGGGCAAAAATCAGGATCCCCATTTTACAAATGAGGAAACAGGATCCAAGAAGCAGCCTCGCGTTCCTGACATCCGGGCAGCCTTCTGACTTGGTAGTTGGTTCTGGCTGCCACTTCCGTGAAGACTCCATGATATGTCTGTTCCCAGCTGATGCACTATTCCCTCTGCAGATCCGCAAGGCCTGAAGGAAGAGGAAGCTGGCACGGGTGCTCATGTAGACCAGGGCTCTGCCGCCCAGAACCACAGCAATCCGTGGACCCAGCCAACACCACTCAGGAAGCAGTCACGGCGGGAAGATGAACGCCAGGCTGAGGTGCGGTTTCTGTCAGGACTCTGTTCCTCTTGACTTCAGAGTCTCCCTCCTTCGCCTTTTCTTGAGACGTCCCAGGGAAGAGAACTTTGACTCTGAATACAGTTTCTTAAACTATCACCCAAGGACCCCTGACGTTGCCAGGTGCTCCTTTTAAAGGGGGAAGGGAGTTTTCTGCAGGTAAAAGCGCCTGAGAAAGCTGCCCGCACATTCCCCACCTGGGAAGTCACAGTAGGCTCTGGACAGGGAGTAGTCTCAGAGGTCCTGGGGTGAAGGGGCCGGCTTCACTCCGTCCAACTCCTGGCTTCCCATGCCGCTGAAACAGAGTCTCCCTGACTCCCCGCCCCATCTAGGTCTGTCTAGAAAGATAGAATTGTGGCCTTAGGCGTGGTCTATGTTCCTGACTAGCTGTAATAGACTAAGAATTTAACCTCCAGCCTCCAGAATGAACTCCTCGGCAGGATGGAGTTAAAATATAGAAGTGTTTTCTGAACTCTGAGACTGTGTGTGTGCGTGTGTGTGTGTGTGTGTACTGTGGTGACACGGGGGGTGTGAGAGAGGTGTCTGTGTGTGTGTGTGTGTGTGTGTGTATGTGTGTAGTGTGGGGACATGGGGGTGTGAGAGAGATGTGTGTGTGTGTGGTGTGTACAGTGTAGGGACATGGGGGTGTGAGAGAGGTGTGTGTGTAGTGTGTAGACATGGGGGATGTGAGAAATTGTGTGTGTGTGTAGTGTGTGTGTAGTGTGGGAACATGGAGTGTGAGAGAGATGCGTGTGTGTGTGTGGTGTGTGTGTAGACCTGGGGGTGTGAGAGAGATGTGTGTGTAGTGTGTAGACATGGGGGATGTGAGAAATTGTGTGTGTGTGTGTGTGTAGTGTGTGTGTAGTGTGGGGACATGGGGTGTGAGAGAGATGTGTGTGTGTGTGTGGTGTGTGTGTAGACATGGGGGTGTGAGAGAGATGTGTGTGGTGTGTGTTAGTTACGCAGAGCAGCAGAGACAGTATCTGTTCCTATCTCGAATAATCTTGTTTGGCTTTATGAGGTCACACGTCAAGGAGAGTAGGGACATGGAAGATCCACTCTCCAGAAGGGGAAAGATTTTATGATATAAAGATCATGGTTTAGGCTCTTCATCCTGATTTCTTTTTCCTTTCTGTAAAGCACCGTATATCAGACATGGCTGTGTGTCCTTCCCTTTTGGTCAATAGTTTCACAGTAACAGCGTTAGAGATTGTGCTGCTGTGGCCTTGTTTCCTCCTCTGCAGAGAGACTTTGTCCCTGAACCCACAAGGCCTGAGTTACAGAGAGACGCTTAATTCCCTTGTGTTTACAGCCTGTGTGTCTGTTATTCCCTAGGAAGCCCTGCTAGAGAGCCACCTCTATGTCCACACCTCGGAGGAAAGCCACAATGAAAAGACACAGCCAGCCTCCAGAAAGGCCCTTGGGCATGCCCGCATCAGTCACCTCCAGCTTCCTAGCGACAGAGACCTCTTCACCGTCTACAGCGGTGCCTTCCCAGGTAGAAAAGCAGGTCTCAGTGTCTGAGCCTGAGGTCTGCGTTGATCTAAGTGAGCTGATGCAGAGTTCCCTTGAGAACACAGGCTCGCCAGATGCCGCTTCTCTTACCACTCACCTTGGAAAATGGCGGGGGGGGGGGGGGCAGTAAGTGTGGGAACAAGACCCTGCCGGGCTCCGCTTTGCCTAGGCTTAGCCGCGTGAATTCTGCCATTCAAGTGCTGAGTCTAGGATCTCAGACACATTGTTTAAGGTGGTAAGGCTGCTTCCCACTCTGTGGGATGAGGATAAGGCGACTTTGAGACTGCCGTGGGGATTGCACGGGTTAGCGCATGTAAAACAGAGTGCACGATTTCCTTTCCGTTTTCAGTTCTCAGTACATTTGTGTTATTATCACCATTATTCTCACCACCGCCCGACTCAGTCACAAGCTCCCAGAGAGTGAAACTGAGGGTCCCATGGCCATTCCAGTAAACCACACTCTCCCTCGTTTTCTTCTCATCAGTCAAATTTGCATACAACTTCTATTTTCTAGTCATGTATATGCATGTGATTATATATTCATCCTATACATAGAAAGGCTCGCGGGTTAGGGGATGGCGGTATAGATTTGTAATCTGAGCACTCAGGTTAGGGATGGCGGTATAGATTTGTAACCCAGCAGTCAGGTTAGGGATGGCGGTGTAGACTTGTAATCTGAGCACCAGGTTGGGGATGGTGGTATAGATTTGTAACCTAGCACTCAGGCTAAGGATGGCGATATAGACTTGTAACCCAGCAGTCAGGTTAGGGATGGCGGTATAGACTTGTAACCCAGCAGTCAGGTTAGGGATGGCGGAATAGACTTGTAACCCAGCACTCAGGTTAGGGATGGCAGTATAGACTTGTAACCCAGCACTCAGGTTAGGGATGGCAGTATAGACTTGTAACCCCAGCACTCAGGTTAGGGATGGCAGTATAGACTTGTAACCCAGCACTCAGGTTAGGGATGGCAGTATAGACTTGTAACCCAGCAGTCAGGTTAGGGATGGCAGTATAGACTTGTAACCCAGCACTCAGGTTAAGGATGGCGGAATAGACTTGTAACCCAGCACTCAGGTTAGGGATGATGGAATAGACTTGTAACCCCAGCACTCAGGTTAGGGATGGCAGTATAGACTTGTAACCCAGCACTCAGGTTAGGGATGGCAGTATAGACTTGTAACCCCAGCACTCAGGTTAGGGATGGCGGAATAGACTTGTAACCCAGCACTCAGGTTAGGGATGGTGGAATAGACTTGTAACCCCAGCACTCAGGTTAGGGATGGCAGTATAGACTTGTAACCCAGCACTCAGGTTAGGGATGGCGGTATAGACTTGTAACCCCAGCACTCAGGTTAGGGATGGCGGTATAGACTTGTAACCCAGCAGTCAGGAATCTGGGGCGCCAGTTTAAGGCAGCTCTGCATTACATGGTGAGTTTCAGCTAGCTAGCCTGGACTATCATATGTAAACCCCTGCTCAAACATAAAATTGAGGGCTAGAGAGGTGGCTTCATAGTAAAAGTCCTTCCTGCTCTTCCAAGAGAGCTCATTCCAGTTCCCATCACCCACACTGGATGGTTCACGACTCTCTCAACTGCCTGTAATCAGCTCCAAAGGATCTGATAACCTCTGGCCTCTGCAGGCATGTAGCATGTATCGACACACACACACACATACACACACACACACACACAAAACAATTTCTAAAAGAAAGAAAGAAAAGAGTAACAAGAGTTAAGATTCAGCAGTTCACCCCATACCTGCAGCTGACACACTTTTATTCCTACCTGTTTGTACAGATAATCAAGGGAACATGCAACCCCACAAGACCAGAGGCAGTTGCTTGTCCCAGGAGCCTCCTGTTAGAGGGTGCCTTCTCCCTCCTATACCATCTGCCACGGGCTCAGAACAAAGAGCTCTCGGGGAAACAAAGAAAAAAAAGGTAGGGGAGTGTGCCTGTGTGTGCGTATGTGTGTGCATATGTGTGTGCGTGTGTCTCTGTGTGTATGTGTGTGTGCATGTGTGTGCCTTTGTGTCAACAAGTGTGTATGTGTGTATGCACATGTGTGTATCTGTATGTGCGTGTGTGTGTGCAAATGTATGTGCATGTGTGTGTGCACATGTGTATGTCTGTGTGTGTCTCTGTGTGTTAAATCCCATTCTAGAAATTAAATAACTCAGAGAGATGTCTCTGAACTCACGAGGTGGAGCTGGGGTGAGGTGCTGTGGCAGTTTCCTGTTGGAAATTTGAGCGATTCGGCAGCCCCCATCACGCCTAGGAACAACAGAACCCTGTCGTGTGAGGAGACAGGGAGTCTTTCTAAACACATAAGGGCAGAACTTGAGCCTGTGAGAGCTGGTTCACTACCAGTTACAAATGCTAGGGAAACTGAGTTGAGGTATTTCACTCAATTGACACTCAGTCACCTTTGCTAATATAGGATAATTTGGTAAGTGTATGAACTCCTTCAGAAGTCAAGAACAGGGCTGGAGAGATGGCTCAGGGGTCAAGAGCACTGGCTGCTCTTGCAGAGGACCTGAGTTCAGTTCCCAGCAACACAGGGTGGCTCACGACCATCTATAATGAGATCTGGCACCCTCTTCTGACCTGCAGGCCTACATGCAGGCAGAATACTCTATACATAATAAATAAATAAATTTTTTTAAATGTCAAAAATAGGGCCAGCAAGACAGTGCAGCTTTGAAGAACTCTTGCCACCAAGCCTGACAGCCTGACTCAATTCCCGGGACTCACGCAGTAGGATTACAGTGCTAACTCCCACAAATTGTCCTTTGACATCCACATGCACAGTAACAGGTGCCCATTCACGTATAAAATCAGTAAACAAGTGTGATAAAAATTTTAGAAGTGAAAAAAACACCTTCTTTCGTAAGGTGACTCTGGCCAGGGCTAGAGAGATGTCTCAGCAGTTGAGAGCACTGACTGCCCCTCCACAGGATCAGAGTTCAATTCCCAGCATCCACATAGCGGCTCACAACCATCTTTAACTCCAGTTTCAGGGGCTCTGACACCTTCACACAGACACAAACGGAGGTAAATACCAATGCACAAGAAATAAAAATAATACGTCATTAAAAAAAAAGAAAGAGCCGGGCGGTGGTGGCGCACGCCTGTAATCCCAGCACTCGGGAGGCAGAGGCAGGTGGATCTCTGTGAGTTCGAGACCAGCCTGGTCTACAAGAGCTAGTTCCAGGACAGGCTCCAAAACCACAGAGAAACCTTGTCTCGAAAAAACCAAAAAAAAAAAAAAAAAAAAAAAAAGAAAGAAAGAAAAGATGACTCTGGCCATCTCTGACCTGACCCTCCCTCACGATTCTGTGTGAGACGTTGGCATTTGGGAAGCATCAATGGTAGATAAACTCCAAAATGTTCTGCCCCCTAGCGGCTGTGTGAATACGGACAGGCCACTACCATCTGAAGGTGTCTCTGAAGGACTGTACACAATTTAGGCAATGCTGATACCAGTAAGGGCTGTTGTTTTCATTCTGCTTAGGACTCTGGGTGGTCCTGAGTCTCAGCCGTCTCCCAGGTTCCGTCGGGCCAGGAGTAAAGAGCAAACCTGAACTCCTGCATCACCACGGGATCAACACGGGCCCTAAGCTCTCACACCTAGCCAGCCCTGACCTGAGCCAGGCTCAGAGGAAAGGGATGCCTTTGAGTCCCCGGCACTCGTTCAACACAGGAAAGCAACATTTTCCACTGTGTTAAAACCCTGTGTCAATTTCTAATTAGAATAAAGAAATTAAGGCTTGGCTTCTTCAGCCGTCCCTCACACAAGAAGTCTGAGTTCCCACACGGCTTTCTCAATGCGACCCTTGTGAAACAGAACCCACAAGGTCCGTATTCAAAGCAGGGCCGTTGGTGGGCAGCACCTGTGCGGGGAGGGTCTCTAGGAACAGAGATCTTGTGTGTGCGTTTGGCTAATCATTTTATTAATGTTTCAAAATTATAAATATTACTCTGCACAAATTGGATAGAATTTCCTTCCTCAATCAGCCCCAAACATGTAGGATGCTTATGTGTGCTTCTGATTCCTGATTCTTTTTTTCCTTTTAAGCACTGGGGAAAAACAGAAAATCTTTATTTTTTTTCTTCCTCTGAAAACTAGAACCCACACATCTCAGAGCAGTAAATTCATATGCTAAAATGTTGCAAACAAAAAGTGAAGTGTTCTGCAAATTCTGAATGACTGGAACTGGAGGTAATATTATACATATGGTTGTGAGTGTGTGTGTGTGTGTGTGTGTGTGCGTGTGTGTATTTGAGAGTAGGAAGTAGAAGCCAAGCCAAATGAGTCGTTGAAGCTGGCACGATGACTCTTTAACTGTGATCATGTGACAACATGATCAGAGGCTGAGATTTTTCTGCTAGGGGCCAAACTGAGTGCTAAACGCTAACAGGAAGAAATCCATTCTCTAGCAAATAGCTTAGATTCCAAGTGTGGCGAGGCCATTCACAAGGTAAAGGCCGGAGAGTTGTGAGTTCAAAGCCAGCCTGGATTACACAGTGAAACAGAGGCTGGGAAGGCAACTCAGTAGTAAGGTGTTTGTCTAACATGCACCAAGCTCCACCCTCATCAACACTCACACATACACCACCACAGACACAGATACACCATACATACAGACATACCGTACAGCACACACAAAGACCTCACACACACATACATGCAGACTTACCACACACACACACACACACCACAATCCATATACACACACACACCATACATACAGACATACCACACACATACACACACACACACATACACACTGCACAAGTCATAAAAACAATCCACATTCCAAACACTACTGTGACTACACATATTAATTCATTTATATCTCCCAACTTTGCAGCATGGGTGGTAAGACTTCTTCCTCTTATTTTAAGGAAGAAATGGAGGCTTAGACCTTACTAAAGGGAGCTGGGGAAATCCTGTGGAGGACGGGGAGGAAAGATTGTAGGAGCCAGTGAGGTCAAGGATACCACAAGAAAATCCACAGAATCAACTAACCCGGGCTCATCGGAGTTCACAGAGACTGAACGGACAACCAGAGAGCCTGCAGGGGACTGACCTAGGCCCTCTACATATATGTTACAATTGTGTACCTTGGCCCCCTGTTAGACACCTAACAGTGGGAGCGGGGGCTGCCTCTGACTCCACTACCAAAAAAAGAGCCCCCATTACTCCTACAGGATTACCCCATCCAGTCTTAACAGGAGAGGAGGGGCCTAGTGTCGCTGCAACATGTTATACCATGGCTGGCTGATATCATGGGAGGTCTGCCCTTTTCTGAAGGGAAACAGAGGAACGGATAGGCACACACACACACACACACACACGACTGCGAGGAGAGAAAGGAGGGGAAAGTTTGGGATGTAAAAAAAAAAGTTACCAAAAGACATCCAGCAGAAGTGGTGCACACCTTTAATTAATCCCAGCACTCAGGAGGCAGAGGCAGGCGGATCTCTGTGAGTTCAAAGCCAGCCTGGTCTACAGAGTGATTCTAAGGTAGCCAAGACTACACAGAGAAACCCTGTCTTGAAAAACAAAACAAGAGAACAACAAAAAGAAGAGGATGAGAAGGAGGAGGAGGAGGAGGAGAGGAAGAAGCTGTTACCAAGGGAAACCAGTCCCATTCTGGGCCCCTTCTCTCTTCTCACCTGAGGTTGAATAGTGTTCTGCTCCTTGTTCCTTCCGCTTATCCTCTTAACAACGTCAGTATGCAGAAGTCCCAGCCATGACACTTCAACCCACACCGTTCTCCCTCGTCACAACAGAGACTATTACTCTCTTAAAGGTTTTTATGGTAGGGAGAGGAAAGTTTGGGGCAGCCCAGGCTGGCTTTGAATTTGCTGTTTGACTGTAGGATCTCGAACTCCTGATCCTCCTGCCTCCACTTCCCATGGGCTGGAATTACAAGTCTGGATGAAACTCAGAAGAGTCAGGCAGGCAGTACATACTCGGAGCTCCCTGGAGACATCAAGGCAACACTCGCAACACACACCAGAGCAATCAGCACCAACTCCCAGCCCATCCATGACCTTTGCTCTTTTAGGGTCTATTTGTACAAGAAACACAGGTACAGCATCATTCGGCCCTCCGCAGACAGCAGTTCTGATACCGGTCACTTTGGTTTTGTGTTTCAACTTTCTCCAGGCGCCAAAGGCTCTGAAATTACCTCCTATTTCAGAAGAATCACCCAGAGTCTTCAACCCCCTGAGGAGCCGTTTTAAAACCAATGAACCCCCAATGGAGCTCTTCATTATCCCAATGGAGATTCATTTTCATGCCCCACGGGCCCCCAAAGAAAAGGCCTGCAGGAGAGGTAGGTCCCCTGCTGACGACACTTCTGAGGAACTTGGTCAAGTCAGAAAGGGTTAGAAGTCAGGATCCCTGCCGGTCCAACCTTTACAGAAGTGGTGGCTGAGTTCCTTCTCAGAAAAAGAGGAAACAAAGGAAAATCCATACCGGATTCAGTTGTATATGCTGAGCCTTTCATGCTTCTAAATTAGGAAAAGAAGACAGACAGATACATAAATAACTCCTTATTTATGTATGCCTTAGATAGTATAAATGCTCTGGAAGCTTACAAAAGAATTATGTAATACCAAAAATAAGCAACTAAAAATGGAAATGGGGGGAAATTGTCCTACTTGAGGATTACTATGGCAAAACACCACCACCAAAAGCAATTTGGAGAGGAAAGGGTTTCTATTGCTCACATACCCAGTCACATTTCCTCCATTGAGGAGAAAGCAAGGCAGGGCAAACAGGGCAGCAACCTGCAGGCAGGAGCTGCTGCAGCGGCCATGGAGGAGAGCTGCTTACTGACTTGCTCCCAATGGCTTGCTCAGTCTGATTTGTTATAGAATCCAGGACTAGCAGCCCAGCAATGGCACCACCCAACAGGGGCTGGGCCCTCCCCCATTGATCACTAATTAAGAAAATGCCCTACAGCCTGATCTCATGGAGACATCTTCTCAGTTGAGGGTCCTTCCTTTCAGATGACTCTAGCTTGTGTCAAGATGACATAAAACTACCCGGGACAAAAAGCTTGATTAAAAAGATCAGAGAGATGGATATTATCAGACAACTTGGATGAAGTTAAGGCTTTAGGTTAAACATTAGATTTATTTAACTGAATTACCTAGCAACCAAACTAAAAGCAATTATTGGCTATTTGGACCTTTGTTTTATAAAAAGAAAAAATTTGCCCAAAAGAGTCTCCTTTTTTATTTTTGTTTTTTGATTTTTTTCAAGACAGTGTTTCCCAGTAGCTGTGGAGCCTGTCCTGGAACTAGCTCTGTCAACCAGGCTGGCCTCAAACTCACAGAGATCCACCTGTCTCTGCCTCCCAAGTGCTGGGATTAAAGGCATGCGCCACCACCGCCGGCTAATCCTTTTGATTTTTAAAATTATTTCATTATCTAAAATACAATCTCAACAGTCTCTGTCAGGAAAAGGCTTCTGTTCTTTCTAAGAGGATCTCTGTGAGAACATGATCTAGGAGAACAGGTCTAACTGAAGTAGGCACCCAGAGGAGGAGACTCGAGAGTCCCCACTCCCGTGCCGGCCCATGCCATAGGGGAAATTCCCTAACTAAGCTGTTTGGCTGTGACCTTGCTTAACAGGGATTCTTGCTCCTGGGATCTCACTGGTCACTTTGGGACAAAAAATAACCCCCATTTTAAGGGACTCGGAGCTTCTAGAAACTTCAACAGAAATTACTTCCGATTTCTTATAGAGTATCAACTTCTGGAAATTTTACAGGAGATTATTTTGTTGAATTTCTTGGGGAATGTGTCCCTCCTCAGCATCACCCAAAGATGGAGAGAGGAAGGGAGGGAGGGGAAGATGAGGGGAGGGAGGGGCAGTCTGGCTTGGGCTGTGGCCCTTCCCTGGAACCAATCACTGTGGCTAAGATAATGTAGTCCTTTTATAATCCAAGCTCAATCACATGGTCAACCCTGGAGTCACAGAATGGATACAGATTTACCCAAACCCCATCATGCAAGCAAGGAAGAGATGGGTCTCCACAAAGACAAGGCTCGTGCCAGAAACAACTTACTTTTCTTTGCCTTCTAGGTGCTCAGCACCCTGACTCCGATCCAGAACCAGAAGAAGCCACAACTTTATGGCAGCCTCAGCTGAAGCATCTGTACTTAGAAAGGCCCAGGGGGATAACTGTGCATCTCCCAGTGGCCAGTGGCCAGGACACACCCTCACCTCAAGGTAGTTCCTTTCTCCCTCCAGCACCTCACAGGAACCTCACTCTAAAAGGAGACAAGACAAGACACAGGAGGGTCCTCCACAGAGAGAAAATCTTTCGGGGAGGTTAGTTCACCCCCAGCCTCTTGAAGACGGCTGTTTTTTCCTGGCAAGTCACTGCCTTAACCCCACGAGCTTCAACACAACTAACAGCATCTAGCTTGCAAATTACTTACTCGCTGAATCAGCTCTCCATAATATTTTCTGGTTACACTGGTAAAACAGAGCTAACCTGACCATGTGTAGCATTTAGTTCTCACCTGTCTTCAGGGTCTTTTAACCTCTAAGAATTGTCTTGGCATGGTTTTGTCCTGTCCTGTGGATTGTTGTTGTTGCTGACATAGTTGAGTTTAAGTTTGGCTTGGTTTGGGATTTTGTTGTTGTTGTTGTTTGTGGTGTTCTGTTTGTTTAGTTGGTTGGTTTGGTTTTGGTTTGGTTTATTAAAACAGGGTTTCTCCGTGTAGCCCTGGCTGTCCTGGAACTAGCTCTGTAGACCAAGCCAGCCTTAAACTCAAAGATCCACCTGCCTCTGCGTCCCAAGTGCTGGGATTAAAGATGTGTACACCAACCACCGCCAAACTTGGTTTGGTTTTTTGAGATGGAATCTCACGTAGAAATATTGCCCAAGCTGTCTCCAAACTCACTGTGTATCTGAGGATGACCTTGAACTGTTGATCCTCCTGTTCTATCTCTCCAAACTCACTGTGTATCTGAGGGTGACCTTGAACTACTGATCCTTCTGTTCTATTATTGATCCTCCCATTCTATTATTGATCCTCCTGTTCTATCTCACGAGTGCTAGAACACCCAGTTGCTCATGGGTACATCAGGTTTCCGAGTTAGTTCTTATGACATCAGTGACAGCGTGTTCCATAGGAAGTGACACAAACTGTATTTGGTCGAAGATGGTGTCTGCCAGATTTTTCCACTGTGAAAATACTGTCAGGAATGGTGGCTTACACCTCTAAACCCACTTGGGTGGCAAAGGCAGGTAGGCGGATCCCTATGAGTTCAAGGCCAGCAATGGTGTGGGAGGTCCTTCTGTCTATGTGTTGCTTTTATTGGTTAATGAATAAAGAAACTGCTTTGGCCTGTAGCAAGGCAGAACTTCGCTAGGCAGGGAAAACTAAACTGAATGCTGAGAAAGAAGTCAGAGTCAGTGAGAAGCCATGTAGCCCTGCCAGAGATAGACACTGGATGGAACATTATTTGGTAACCCACAGCCATGTGGCGATACAGAGCTTAATAGAAATGGGTTAAATTAAGATGTAAGAGTTAGCCAATAAGAAGCTAGAGCTAATGGGCCAAGCAGTGATTTAATTGATACAGTTTCTATGTGGTTATTTTGGGGCTAAGCAGTCAAGGAACAAACAAGTGGCTTGCTACAACAAATTGGCGCCCATTTGTTGACAGAGGTTTCTGTCCTGCCCACTCCCGTAGTCGTTAAGTCCCAACGAAACACACAGAGGTCTACATTAATTATAAACTGGTTGGCCTATTACTCAGTTAGTTCTTATTAACTCTTACATCTTACATTAACTCATAATTCTTATCTGTGTTAGCCACGTGACTTGGTCCCTTTTATCAGACAGTCAGTCTCATCTTGCTTCCTCTGTATCTCGGTGACGCCTGCAGACTGACTCTTTCCTCTTCCCAGAATTCTCCTGCTCTCATTGCCCCACCTCTACTTCCTGCCTAGCTGCTGGATAATCGTGTTTCATTAAAATACAAGTAACAAATCTTTACAGGGTACGAGACCATTGTCCCACAGCGAGCCTGGTCTACATAGTGAGTTCCAGGACAACCAGGGCTATGTAGAGAGACCCTGCCTAAGGAAGGAGGGGAAAAGTACTTCTTCTTTTTATAATTAATAAATACCCTGTGAAATTTTGAGATTTCACATGAAGCCAACTTTTAAGCCTAAGTGCAACAATGTATCAAATATGAAAAAAAGACTGTCATCATCTCTAACAGACAAACCAAGCTTTTGCAGGTGTGGTCCCAGGTCCTGTCACCCCAGAGAGCAGTCCATACTGCAGTGGAGAAGAGAGAACAGAGATGAAGGGTTAAAACATACTTTCTGGAGTATGTTTTCAATCAGTCCTGTGACCTTCTGTCTACCATCTGGAGGGTGGTATAGTTGGCCCTCCAAATCAATATGTTTACTCTGCATCCACAGATTCAACCACCTACAAATCAAAAGTATTTGCGGGGGGGAATCAACTGTACTAAACACCCACTCTATTTTTATTTTTTTGCTATTCTCCCCTAAACAGTACAATATAACAACTATTTGCATGGCATTTACATTGTATCAGATATTATAAGGAACCTAGAGACAAGAATACAAGGGGACTCATGTAGATTATGAGTAAATGCTAAATGCCACTTTATATAAGGGACATAGTGAGGATATGAGTGTAGTGATACTTTGTGTTTTTAACAAATAAAGCTTGCCTGAAGATCAGAGTGCAGAGCTAAGCCACTAGAGGCCAGGCAGTGGTGGCCAAACCTTTATTCGCAGTATTCAGGATTAAAGTGCCGCACCTTTAATCCCAGCACTAGGGAGGTGGAGACAGGAGTGATGTGTTTAGGCAGAGAGAGGAATATAAGGCGGAAGGAGACAAGAGCTCAGTGCAGTCTGGAGATGCAGTCTGAAGACAGGATCGCCCTTTTGGTCTGAGGATTCGATAGAGGTAAAATGTCTCTCTAGTGGCCAGCTGCTCTGCTTCTCTGATCTCTCAGCTTTCACCCCCTAATATGTGATGCCATGTTTTTATTAAAAGCAATTATATTTCATGCTATATACGGGTATCCAGTCTATCCTGAATCAATACATCTGTACTTTGTTCACAATATAGCTTGAGAAGGGAATGTGATCATTGGTTTTGTCATCAGAAATCTGAATCCAGCTGGGTAGGGTAGCATAGGCCTGTGATCCCAGCATTTGGGAAACTGAGGCAGAGAGACCACACTTTAAGGCCAGACTGGGCTACACAATCAGATACTGTCTCAAAAGGAAAGAAAACTGTTATCTTATAATCAAAATCCCCTGAGCCTTCAGACTAGGGAGTCTGCAGTCTCTTGGGCTTGTCCCCATCTCTGGGTCCCATCTATGAAAGAGTCACAGCTACCACTTCCCTACTCCTCCCCTCGAGGAAGGGCTCCTGTTCTCACCAAGAGCAATTTCACTCTTCAGCTCCCTTCCCTGGAGCAGGTCTGGAAAGGAGAAACAGAGCTGGAAACAAACAAAACCATTATCCCCGACACCAGCAACTATCAACTAAGCCAGAAAAGCCACGAACTGGTCTTCCCGATTCCAGAGCTTTTACACTCATGAGTGTCCCCTTTTGCTTTAGGAGATGGTGATATCCTGGTCCAGAGCGAGGACCAACCAGTGGGTCTCCTACTCCCAATTAAAGAACGCAAAAGTTCAAAGGTCCAGAGGGACATGGACAGCCCCAGGACCTCAGGTGGCCCAAGAGAGAGAGCACTGCCAGAAAAAACAGGTAATCATTCTGGGGTGTGTGGAAACTGTACCCCATTCTTTTCTGTGGCTCCTGTCTAGATTCCCCATCAAAAGGGGAAATGGTGGTATTCCCAGTTGTATTGGTGAAATAAATGTTCGGCCGTCCCCCTAAAGAATCTGACTTGTTTGGAGAGTTTGCTGCACCAATATACACCAGCGACCTGTTTCCTCCCTCCGGCAGTCACACGTGATGACATGGCTCCCTGAACTCCTGTGCCGCACACACCTGGGTTCAGTAGACATACTTAACACTGCTGCAGCCAGAACCCTCCCTGGGCACAGGAACCTGTGGACCTGACGGTAGATAAAGCTTCCAGAGGGAAATCACCCTCCAGGCCAGGGCGGACTTGAGGCCTGTTCCCAGGAGGGAAAAGATGCTGCCTTCCTACTGTAGGGTGAGGCAGGGCAAACCATGTCCTCTGTGACTGAGCCCCACATAGACACCGGCAGTCAAGGAGTGACCGAGATCAAATGCAACACCGCAAGACAGTGCAGGGGCAGCAGGGACAGGGCTTAGAACAAGGCAGTGCAGGAAGCAAATGTTGCCAAGAGTCTGAATTACCCTAAAAATCTCAAGAGGAGCCGTCCTGGAAACTGACAGTCAGTCATCAAAGAGATACAGCTGAGAGACTGAAGAGTCAGCTCAGGGATTAAGAGCATTTGCTCTTTCAGGGGATTCCTGGCCTGTTCCCAGCACCCAAGTGTCTGTAACCCCAGTTCCAGGGGATCTGGAACCCTCTCCTGGCCTCCTCAGGCACCAGGCATGCACATAGCATATATGCATACATGTAGGCAAAACACTCATACACATAAAATAAAACCAATAAATAATAAATCTTAATCTGCTTTTTAAATGCAGCCCACGCTCCTCAGAGCCTTCCTTCCCTCCTCCCACAGAGCTTTGGGCCATGTTCTCCTCTGGGGAGCACCACATGAAGGAGTTAGCCATGTGGAAGGAAGAAGGAACAACTCTCACTGAGGGAACAGGGGGCTGAGAGCCGCAGGGAGACAACAGCTAGACTCCTATCCTTTCTTTCGTGATACTTGGAAACAGGCTATTTAAATCAACAGCTCTCTCCCTGCCCCCATCTGTCTCTCCTTCCACCTCTCATTCTGTCCCCAAAGCACGTGAGGTTGAATTCTCGGAAGCATAAATTAAATATGTAAGTCAATAACTCCGTTCTGTGTTTTCAGTTTCTGTGTTTAGGGTTGAGGTAGTCACAATCAAACCCCTTCTTTCCCTCCCCTCCTTTCTCCACAAACGCTGTTGAGCCTTTTTTTTCTCAGTTTTATCTCCTTATCCATGATACAAATGGCCCAAGCTTAACTACTCTCCCTTCTTCACCAAGGGCCACCCTGGAGGTTAATAGCCCCAGAAAAATTACAGCACACACACACACACACACACACACACACACACACACCTAGTCTTGGAGATTCTCATAAAGGGAGGATGTTATTAGACGAGAATAACACAGCCATAACTGAGACAAGGAATCCCAAGTGTATACGCTGGGTGTGTGTGCATGTGTGTGAGTGTACGAACGGTCACGGATCTCAGAGTGTGTGACGGTATATGTATGTCCATTTCAGTACATGTGTGTGTTGTGTGCATGATGCATGCCTATATGTGTCTAAGCATACAACAGTGCATGTCTGAGGTGCATTCAAGCCTGCAACAGAGTGCATGTTTCAGTGCATTGTGCCCTTGTTGGAATGTGACATGCGTATAAGCTTGCATGCCTGCATGTATATGGCTGTGCGTATGTATGTTTGTCTTTTGGGAGTATGCATGTGTATGCACACGTGTTTGTACCTTTATGCACATTTATATGCTTGCAAGTGAATTATGCATTTGCCCCTCAGCATCCCCTCCAGCTGGAGGCCTGACTTACTGCTGCCCCTTTGCCTTGGAAGCAGGAAAAGTAAGAGTAATATGATATGAACTATATTTAGCCCTTGTCCCTGGTTTCTGTCACAGACCTAAAAACCCATGGAATTTCCAGATAGAAGTTTCTTCTTGCTCATGGGGAAACCTCTCTGAAAATGATGAAGTTTACACTAAGGGGGTCACATATGCTCAGAGAGGGTACAGAAGCTCCCAGACCCTGCCCCCTGTGCACCTCATCATCTGGCTGTTGGGCTATACTCCTTCTAACACATTAGTAAACCTAGGGCCTTCTGTGAGTGTCTAAGAAAGTATCAATTTCAAGGAAGGAATCATGGAAGCCCCACTCATAACCGGTGGGTTAGAAGCACAGGCCACAAATGGGGGCTTGCAGTCCACAGTTAAAATGGGGAGAGCCTTGTGGATCTAAGCCTTGAACCTGAGGAATTTGATGGTAACTCCAGATAGCAGTGGCAGCAATAGCCAGAAGTACAGGAAGCTCCATTGTTGTCTGCGAGAGGATTGCTTGGTGAGAGGGGAACCAGGCTTTTTCTGTGCTGGGACAGAGAACAGAGGAGAAACGTACATTTTCCTTTCATAGTAAGTTTACATAAACCTTGAGTCTTTGCAAGTGACCAAGGGACAGATGGCTTCTCTGTGCAGCCTGGGCTGCAATTCCTGTGTAGTCCCAGAGCTCAGTCCTAGCCTGTGATCACACAGTGCAATGCCTCACAAAGGCATCTACGGAGAGAAAAAGCAAAAGCAATCACCAAATCCTGTACCCAGGCTACGCTCGACTGGAGAGTGTCCCCCTGGCCTAGCCCTGCTACTCCCATCCAGACTCTGCATGGGTGTGGTGTGGCTCGTGGAAGCCCCTTTATCTCCACCTCATCCTGGCCCCCAGAAGACAGGGCCTAGACAATAAGCCCCCTGTGCTGAGTGCCTTGGTGAACCCTGGCAACCGGAGAACACACAAGCATCTCCAGTAACAGCCCATCTGGGCTTAGAGCAGCACAGCCAGGCTCGGCCTCCCTCACCTGCACTAGGGCTAATGCTGTTCGCACGTATGTTTATTTTCAAGAAAACTCCAGAAATCCCACACTGGGACACTTCTTGCTGAGTACGGATGGTGAAAACTCCCACCAGTCTCTCGCGAGGCGCATGGGTACAGAGGTGCTTCCACTGAAACAAGGTAAGATAACACACACTCCAGGGCAGGCTTGTGTTCAGAGGAGAATGTTTTACCTTTGGTTTCCAAAGGCTCCCAGTGGCAGCAGAAGACAAGAAGCAGCCAGCTTCTCCCACTCCCTGACACAGAGGTTCCTCTGTGGTCCAGACACAATAACCCTATGTTCAAGGAACAAGTTCCCTCTTGCCAGAATATCTGGAGACAGGAGTTGCAGAGGGATGGCTTGGGAGAACTCTAGTGTGCCCATGCTGGTGCCTTGATCAGGATGATAAAGCCCTTTTGGTATTTGCCCAAATGAAACACGGCCTCTTCTCTTCTTTCCAACCACGCTCCCGAGGTGGAGTGGTTAATTGGTAATCCATTCAGGCATCCTCGTTATGTGTGTTCGTTCACCGCTGTGAGTCACCTGGCCCCTGACAGACAGCAGGGCAGTTTCCAAAACCTCTTTTGGCACAGCAACCTTTTGGAAAAGAGACGCTGGCTCTGGGCAATAGCCATTTTGCAAAGGAAAAAAAAGAAATAAGTCAGAGGGTGATGAGTGTTAAACCTCCCCAGAAACCATCAGGATGGGCTTGCATGGGCTGTGCAGCCAGCAGGCCCCTTGATGAGGGAGATTAAAAGCTGCACGCATGGGTGAATTACGTCACAACTATCTTAATGAGCAGGTCCTGGATTCAGGGCCAGATTTCCATGGCCCTGGCTTGTCCTCTGTGTAGCCTGGTGATGTTTTCTGTGTTCTCAGTTGCTCACCCAAAAGGGCAACACACACACACAGACGCACACACGGCGTGGGGGAGAGCAGAGAGCCATCCCCCTGACTGCATCTCATAGCCTGTGTCCGTTGCTGCAAGTTCCACCCATTGTAGGAATTTCTGGGAAGTGTGATGCGTTTGCTTCTGAACTCAGCACCCGAGAACTCCCATCAGCATTTGGGTTATCCCAGAAAATGACTTTTTAAATATCTTGGGTCTGAGTCTGTTGGAGCAGGAGTGAGACAGTTGGGACAGCTGTTGGGACAGCAGGGAAGTAAAGGGGACTTTCACCTGCCTCACATTTGCCCAGAAGAAATAGTTTCTCTTTGGACAATTCAAAAGCAACCAGCAGAGACAGAAATGTTTTTGGTTTTTGTTGTTGTTGTTGTTTTGTTTTTTTTGTTTTTTCGAGACAGGGTTTCACTGTAGTTTTAGAGCCTATCCTGGAACTAGCTCTTGTAGACCAGGCTGGCCTCGAACTCACAGAGATCTGCCTGCCTCTGCTCCCCTCCCTGAGTGCTGGGATTAAAGGTGTGCGCCACCACTGCCCAGCTCGAGACAGAAATGTTGAAGCATTATGTTGGCTGTGGCCACAGTAGTTATGATGCATCAGATGCTTCAGTATCCCCAGCTCCCATCACGGTTCCTAACACAAGAAGCGGGGTCACAGCAACTGTTCGCTGAAAAAGAGTTCAGGGACTGGAATGGACTCAGGGAAGCGTGTTTGATTGGCACACACAGGGTACCGAGTTTGAGTCCCAGCAAACCCCAATTTCAGAGCTAGAAGGAAAAATAAAACTTAGGCTAAGTAAATGGGGACTTGCCTGCATCTTCTCCTAGTCCTAAGGACAACTCACTCAATCTGCTTGCTTCTCAAATTCAAAAGCATCCGTTGGGGCTGGAAAGATGGCTCAGTGGTTAAGAGCATTGCCTGATCTTCCAAAGGTCCTGAGTTCAATTCCCAGCAACCACATGGTGGCTCACAACCATCTGTAAAGAGGTCTGGTGCCCTCTTCTGGCCTGCAGACATGCACACAGACAGAATATTGTATACATAATAAATAAATAAATTAAAAAAAAACCATCCGTTGTGCTCTTGTTGAATGAATCAGCTAGGCAGTCTCTCTCCATCTCTTCCTCAGCGTGCTTGGTTGACCTTCAGTCTTAAAGATAACTAGATGGTGCTTCAAAAGGTGAAATAATATTTATTTTTTTTCTTCTTGGTTTTTCAAGACAGGGTTTCTCTGTGTAGTCCTGGCTGTTCTGGAATTCTCTCTGTAGACCAGGCTGGCCTCAAACTCACAGAGATCCACCTTCCTCTGCCTCCCAAGTGCTGGGATTAAAGTTGTGCACCACCACCGCCCGGCATGAGAAAATATCTTAAACTCACATCCTCCTACAATGATCCAAAGAACAGGTCTACCTTTCTAAGAGATTCCATTCATTGAAGCATGTTTTTTGAGGCTGTACTGGTTTTATTTTATGGGTTTCAGATTTTGCCTGCATCCGTGTCTGTGCACCAGGTGCATGCAGTGCCCTCAGAGGCCAAAAGAAGGAGTCAAATCCTCTGGAACTGGAGTTGCAGATGGTTGTGAGCAATATGTGCTGAGAGTTGAACCCTGGTCCTCTGGAAGAGCAGTCAGTGTTCTTAACTGCTGAACCATCTCTCCAGCCCCTGAAGGGTATTTTTATTGTTATTCCGAGTTGTTTGTGGATCTGGGGGGGGGGTTGATCTTTAGATCTTTGGTTTGATCTGACAAAGAATATATTGAAAGCCCTTTCCCCTTTGCAAAAGACTCTGAAAACCCGGCTTTGCTCAGATGCTCAGACCCACCTTTTAAATTTTATTTTACTTACTTGTTTTCATTTTGGTGCTAGGAATGGAATCCAGGGCCTCCCACACACGAGGCAAGAGATCCACTATTGACTACATCCCAGATGCAATGTCCCACCTCCCTCTCAGTATCATCTCCCACACATTCCCGCCTGCCCTCCAGTGACCCCTCCATCATCCCTTGATGTCCCAAATGTTCAGTTTCTGGTCTTCTCTCTCCAGGCACTTTCCTGAGTCACCCCCCCCCCAAATATTTAGACAAGCTCTAAGTTCATCTTTTCTAGGACATTTCCCTGAGTAATTTCACCTCTCTCCGTACAACCACCTAGATGCAACCTCGCGGCTTTCCTCTCTCTCAGTCCCACCTTTGTGATTTTGGATTTTTCTGCATCTGTTTTCAGTTTGGCTCACTAATGTATGAGTCCCAGGGAAACCTCCTCTCTTTATCCTGCGTCCAAGAAATGTGTGTTGATTGACTGAATATCCCAGGTGCCACACAGGAAAGTTCTTGGGGGAACACAGTTGGGTTTTTTTTAATATTAAAAAAAAAATCTTAAGAGGAAATATGATATGTCTGATCTTCCCGAAACTGTAAGGCTCTGTCAACAAGCATTTGGGAATAAATTCTTAGGCAATTAGATCATGATAGTTTTGCTTTCAGACAGCAGAGAGAGATGAATATAACCTTTAAAAGAAGGAGAAGGGGGAAAGATGTCAAGACTAGAGCTGTAATTTGGCTCTCTCGCTCATGTTGGGTTATATTGCGACACTCCCAGAATTCAAAGGTTTAGGAAAGGAAAAGCTGGCTTGGAAGCGTCTAAGTCAAACACTGGTTACGCTCTCTGGATTGCTTATCCCTGATACAAATCCTCAAATATTCTTCCTGTCCCGCCGCCAGCAGCATGCATTTCCTCTGCAGAGTTCTTCTCTCCACTGGTTTCACACTGAGAGATATCCAAAGACGTCTGTGCCAAGAATTCAAGTTGGAACCTCAGGTTCCATACAGACTTCAATTCCTAATCCTTTCAGGGTTCTTAATTAGCATTCAGCCTTGCCCTAAACGGAGTTATTCAGCACAAAGTGAGTTTTCCGCTTGCTTGTTTGTTTGTTTCACTCTTGCTGTTTTGTTTTGTTGTCTAATTGCAGCCTGTGACCTTTCCTGGTGTAGTGGTTTTAAGGCATGTCTACAAATTACTTGACATATCTCGCCTCAAAAGGATATAGTGACTCATGCCTTATACTGATATGGACAGAAGTAAGGTATATGGCTTTGGAAACAGAGTCTGGTCTTAGCCCACTGTCTGGTGCTGTTTTAGTTAGAGGCTGTTGTTGTTGTTGTTGTGTTTTGTGTGGGATTTTATGTGCGTGTATTTTGTTGTGTTTTGGGGGGGGTTGTTGTTGTTGTTGGGGGGGTTGTTTGTTTGTTTCTGTGAAGAGCCACCATGACCACAGTAACTCCTATAAAGAAAGCATTTCATCGAAGGGGCTCACTTACAGTTTCAGAGGTTCAGTCTGTTATTATAATGGCAGAGAACATGTTGGCATGCAAGCAGACGTGTTGGAGGAGTAGCCAAGAGTCCTACATCTTGCAGGAAATCGACTGAGATACTTGGCAGTATCTGAGCATAGGAGACCTCAAAGCCCACTCCCACAATGACACACTTCCTCCAACAAGACCATACCCACTCCAATGAAGCCAACACCTCTTAACTGTGCCACTCCTTCTGAGACTATGAGAGTCAATTATATTCAAACTGCCACATTCCACTCCTGGCCCCCATACGCTTGTAATAATATCATAATGCAAAAACGCATACTTCCAACACATAGTGGCATAGGATACACATTCCCATTCCAAAACGCAGGGAGAAGGGAGCGTAGCGAAGAAATAATGAACCAAAGCAGAACTGAAAAAAACAGGCCAATTACATTCAAACTACCATGGTTTCCATAACAGAATACGTGAGACTGAGTGACCTGAAAAGAACAGAGACTTCTTTTGATCCATTGTTCCGGAGACTGGGGAATCCCAGAGCACTGTGTCAGCATCTGCCTGGTGGGGGTAAGGGGGAGCTTAGGATGAAGGAAAAGTCAACGGGATGCAAGTTAGTACCCTTGAGTCCTAAAACCCTTACTCCTACAGTGACTGACACACACTCAGGAGCTTGAGAATACCCTTCATCGCCTCAGAAATTAGCCTACCCCAGTGGGGGGAGTAAAGTCCAAACACCTCTGATGTTCTGACTGCTCTTCAGTTCTATAGCACAGGTAGGGATCAAATTGCGGTGTGAATAGGGTGGACATTTTGTAGATATTTTGTTGTTAGTTTGGTTTGGTCTGCGTCACTCTGGCTGGTCTGGAACTCATGGTCTTCCTGCCTCGGTCTCCAAGAGGCTAGTTCCGGGCTAGGCCTTTAG